GTGAGGATACCACAGTCTGGAGCAAAGAACTGATCTGACTTTCTTGGCCTGTACACAGACACATTATGCACTCTATACACAGACACATATTATTGGCTCACCAAAATAATTTTAACTTCCTGTCCCAGTTTTCTCCTATTTACTTCTCTTTGAATATGTGACTTCACTAGAATTCAGAAAGTGATCTCCTGGACTTCTAAGGAGAAATCTAGAAGAATTTTGCTTTATAGAGTTTGTGTTACATATTATCACTCATGAATGATGGAAGCAAAAGTGAGGAATTTACTGTGAGCCTGCAATATTTCTTCATTCATTCATTACTTGTTGGACACTGTGGTTTCCATTTCTTAGAATTATAAATACTGCTATAGGGAATATGGAAGTACAAGGTCTGTGATATACTTCAATGTATACCATTAATGGGATTAGTAATTCTTAGGTGTTTCTAGTTTTAATATGTGTTTTCTATAAAGGTCCAACTAAATATATCCCTACCAACATTAAGCAAGGGTCTCTATTTCTCTTTATGCTCATAGCAACTTTTATCTTCTGGTTGTATAATAAGATTCATTCTTCATGGAATGAGATTATTTTTATTATGACCCCAACTCACCTACTGTTAGTGATATTTCAGAGATGTTAATGTTTTGTGAGTCATCTAGTTTTAAAAATGTTTATTTAAATCTTTGGTTCATTTTCACTTATTTCTCTAAGATTAAATGTTCTTTACGTATTTTGAGTATCAATTCATTATTTTCTCCCATCCATTGGAACACTGCACTGTCATCTCCTTCAACATGTAGAAACTTTATTTTATGCAATCTTGTCTACTTTTGGTTTTGTTTGCTGTGGTCTTAGAGTAGTAGTTCTCAACATGTGGGTCTTGACTCCTTTGGAGGTTGCGTATCAGACATTTACATTAAAATTAAAAGCAGTGGCAAAATTACAGTTATGAAATCGCAACAAAATAATTTTATGGTTGGAGGTCATTACAACACAAGGAACTGAAGTGTATTAAACTGCAGCATTAGGAAGGTTGGGAGCCACTATTTTAGAGTCTTACTTAAAAATTCCTGAATGCCATGAAGCATTTTCATTGTCTTCTAACAGCTTCATAGTTCAAGGTCTTACATTTACTTCTTTAAAATATTTTCAGGTAATCTTTACTATGGAAAATAGGGTAGACTTTAGCTTCATTGTTCTGACTGTAAATATCCAGCATTCCTAACACCAGGTATTGCATATTCTTAGCATCTTCGTGAAAAAGTGAGCAGGTTACAGATTTGTTGACTTGTTTCTAGAAATATCGAAATCCTAAAAATAATGCATTCAACTTTTCATATTGTTCAAAAATATGAAAATTAACTTTAAGACTGAGACCACAGAATAAACTATTTTTCCTTATTCCTCTTCAGGATCATTAAAAACCTCATTTGGAGAAGTAAAATGTTACAATATGGAATAGAAAACATTATGTTTGGGTAGAAGTCTAGGTATATATTCTAGTTCTGCTAATTACAGAAAGCATTATCCTATGAGGAAGGTTCATAATTCTATGAGGTTTGGTTCACTCATCTCAGTATGAGGATATGATTTATTTCCACGGTGATTTATGACATAAATAAAGCCATGTATAAATAGACCTAATGGGTAATGTTTAAGATACTCTGGAAATGACAATGTGATAAACTGTGGAAAAGCCCTACAAAACTCTAAATATCTGTTTTGACAAAATAAATATTTAAATGCAACTACTGGAAAATACGAATTATAGTCATCCAATGGCAAAACTTATTGTTGACAAGGGTTATATTTCATTACGGCCATTTTAATCTAGCCTGTTTGCATTAACTCTCAAAGCAGGGGGAAAATCCACAATCTATTATTTTACCAAACTGATATTTCTATATGATATATTTAATGAAAGAAGGCAATATTTGAAAGCTCTGTTGACAGTTTGCAATTGATGCGGAGTGTCCCTCAAGAAAAAACAGAGATCAGACTCTGAAAATCAATAGTATAAAATGGTACAAAGCTTGAAATTTCACTTATATCAAGCAAAAGATGATTTATATTGGAACTGGAAGAAAAATTTTTATTCTGGCATAAAAGTGTCATCTGGTACCTTGATCCATCATACTTCTCTTCCAGTGATTTCAAGTGATCATTTACACTCTTTAAGTGTGTGTAGACATGTATAATGTATGTGCAGGAAGGTGATAAGACAGTGCACAAAGAAACACTCGTGCCTCCAGAATTATGGGAAGCAAACACTATTGCCGAAGTTTTCCCATTCAGAACACGTGTTTAAATGCTTTAAGCAATAAGCAACATACTCACTGTAGAAATGGGTCATTATTGAGTCACTCAAGAAGGTGATGAGTTTTTAGATTTTATTATTCATTTATTTTTTGTTTAGGGCCATAGTCTAACTACATAGCTCATATACAATCTTACAAGAGCTTCTATTGTGTTGAGATTGCAGATCAAGACACTACATGCAGCAAGTGCTCAGCTTTTTGAACAAAAATGCTCTCATTTCCTCAAGGAGAGATATGGTCCCAGTCATTTCAGTGCCTCTGAAAACTGATCCCTTCTTCAGCCTTAGAAAGAACAACAGCTGCTTCCTGCCCTTTTAGACATGGAAAAGAGATAAAGAAAAGTGGCCCCAGCAGCCATAACAGCTGTCACTACCAGAATAAAGAACTGGAAAATTAAAAATGCCATAAAGAGTATTGGCACTTCAATAAAGATCTAGGCAATTAATAACGTACTGAGCAACTTCCTCTAGATCTCCCCAGCTTTCCATGAGAAGCAACTGAGAATAAATTTAAACAATAATTTGAATGCTCAAAGCAATGTGTCTAGCTATGAATTCTTTGCTCTGTTTGATATGACTTGAGCACATTATACAGCAGAGGCCCAGTTGGCAAAGGGTTAGACTGTGAGTCACTGGGCATTCATGGAAGGATTTCTGCCCCTTTACAATGAGTCTTTAACAGAGTGATGACACGGTGTCACATCTGGCTTTGATGGTGTCCTGGTGGAAGCTGAGTAGAGGAAAATTATAAAATATTTTTATCCAGCCTCTAGTTAGTCCTGCTGGTTTCAGTGCTAAAACAAGACACCAGAACACCTTTCATAACTTCGGATCAAAGAAAGAAGTCTTGATTTTACATCCTGGTGAATATATTTAAAGCTGCTTGACTAGCTCTGATGACATGAATTTCCAAAGTACATTGTGTTATTAATGCTATTGCTGTATTCACAGTAATCACCGCTAAGTCCGGAATTTGTGAAGAAGTCACTTAACTGTTACTCCTGATTGTTTTATCATTTTGCACTTCTTAAATATATGCAAAATATTTGCAAAACCCACATTCACACACTAAAAGATTATCAAGAAAAAATAGTGAAAAAACCAATCTTGGTTAAAGTATAACCTGGGGGAGTTTGACATTGAGCCAATGAGGAACAAAAGTAGACCTCTTCTTAACAAGTTAATGTGGTTAATGTGTTGTTCTTAATCGGTTAATTGAGAGTAAGGATGAATCTAAACAAAGTACAATAAATTTCACAGAAAAATAAAAGAATGTGCCACTATGGAATTCAAATACTTCACTTTTACCCAAATGACACACATCTAAAATCTACTAGTATTTGACATTTCTTTTTTCTTTTAAAACTATTTATTTTATTTTTGGAGATTAAAATATAATTACACTACTTCCCATTTTCTCATTCCTCTTGCTACTCCCTCCTAGTATAGCTCTCCTTGCTCTGTTCCTAATTCACAGCCTTTTAAAATTAATTCTCCACACACACACACTCACACACACACACAAGTACAAACCTCTCAGTACATATAATATTACTTGTATGTATGTTTTCAGGACTGACCATTTTGTCCTGGATAGTAACTGGTCTTCTCTCCCCTGGGGAAAACTATTTTCAGCATTCCTCAGGTGTCTCCAGTTCTTGCTATTGAGTGTTGAGGCCGCTTATGTTTTCTCCTGTCCAACTTGGCATGTGATTGTCTTTGTTCAGCTCATACTTTGGCACTCATTTTGGTGAGACTTTATGAGTATATCTTCTAACATTCCTAGGAAACACAATATAACAGCAAACCTCTTGTTCTACATGCTTTTGTAATCTTTCTGTCTCTTCTTCTCCAATGATCTCTGAACCATAGGTGTGGGAGTTGTATGTTTTTTCTAGTGGGACTAGGCTGCTCAACTCTTCATTTTGAATTTTTTGTGGTTTTCAATGGTTTCTGGTGCAAAGAAAAGTGTCCTTAATAATGACTGAGAACTACAGTTACTTGTGGGTATAAGGACAAATATTTAGAGTTTAGTTAGGTATTATGCTCACTGGTTGTAGGTCCTCTGCTAAGATCCATGACTTCACTATCCTTGTATAGTTGGTTAGGTATCCAGTGGCATGCAATTTTTTGCATGTTGAGGAAGTTTTAAGTTCATTCAGAGAACTACTGGTTACTGCCAAGGTATGTGTACCACTAATGTACACTTGTAGTTATAATGACATTCTGGTTGTTATTCTGGTTTGTAGATACACTTCCACTTTAAGACATTAATTCCTTGAGTGTTTCATACTGTGGACTGGGTTCTAGTCCATATTTGACACTATGGATCTTTTTATATTTAAGTCATCTATTAAATCAGAAGAGTAGCCAAATGAGTCTACAGTGTCATAATTTTTCACTTATAAGGAAAATATTTCTTTTGGCACAGATGAACAAAAAATTACTTAAAACCAAAATGTGTGGTAAATTTAGTGTGAATAAAAACTTAGAGAAAAATTCTGATTAACCTAAGCTTACACTTGAATAATAAGGAATAAACTTTTCCAGTCTAAAGTGGAAATGTGAGGTAAAAGCAAGTAACATTTAAAAATATATTTTTTCTATTATATAACTCATGTTTATATTATAAATACTCATGTTTTAATGTTTGCTAAAATAGATTAATAATATTACTTATGTGCTCACTTTGGCAGTACATATACTAAAATTGGAATGATACAAAGAAGGATCATCATGGCTCCAGAGCAAGGATGACACACAAATCCATGAAGCACTCTATACTTAATAAGGGAAATAAGTTCAACAGGAAAGGCATTAGGGAAATCAGAAAAACACAAACACAAAAATGAAGATTTCTGATCCCTCCACTTCTACACTTCCAACTTATTCTAAGAAAAATGTAAAATACAAGAGGTAGATAAAGAAGATGAAATTACTGAAAAGAAAGGGGGGAGAAGCCAATATTAAAATTAAAGCTGAAATAGATGAAGTGGTGGAGGAGGCTACAGAGAATGAAGACCAGGAGATAGAAGAGGAACCATCCTGTGAAGAAGAAAAGGAAGGATTAAAAGAGACACATTAAGGAAGAACATCTTTCAAAGGAAGAATCATGCTCAGCCATTCTAATTCAGAGAAAAGGCATAAAAGAAAGAAAGATAGTGAGGACTAATGGAAAACAATTGTAATTCTGACACCTGTACACATCATGCTTAAAATTCAGTTTGGAACATACAAAATGCTCTGTAAAAGAATCAAGGGATGTTAAACCCAATCTGGTTATCTACCGGTTATCTCCTGACATCAACTCTTAACCTAAGAGTCTGACACACACACACACACAAATATTTCCTTGTATTAAAACTATATTACTGTTTCCCAGGATGTGGCTCATCATGACCTTATTATTGCTTCAAGACAGTGAGCAGCACTCAGTTGCTCTTATGGAGGACCTGGGGAAGATGCTCGTCTATGAGCCACTATATAGTGGTGGGCAATGAAGGTCAGAGCTGACTATCACCAAAGCATCACACAAGCCGTGAGCAACATGTCAGCATGCGAGGTATTCCTGAAAAGCCTTGTTCCAAAATAGAGCAGGCTTGAGGGCTTTTTATTTTAAACTGAAATAATACATCTGACCTAGTTTAAAGTACAGAACTTACATTCAAGTAAGCTAAAGGCAATCTTGTCACTTGCCTCATTGACACAACTGAGCAGATACTCTGCATTACAGCTCATTATCTGAAGTTTTCCTTGCAGGCCTGAGCCCAGTCAGTGCTTGTGGTCATTATTTTCCAGGAATAAGGGCCTTTTTTCCTGGATATTTTTTTCAAAAACTATATCTGATTATAGCACTACTGACACTTGCCCATTTCCTCTTCCTGTGCAAAAGGCCACTGTCAAAAACATCAAGACTAATGTGACAGAATTTGTTTCCTCCTAAAAACTTTAAGTTTAGAGTTAACTTTCAGCTAAAATACTTTAAAAATTCACAGAATGAATTTCAGTTGGCATTATTTGCTAAACAAAATATTTCATACCACTATGAGGTCAATCACAAGAATACTTTTGTAAGGTTGTGTAAAATACTTAAAATTTTCCTTTAAATATTCTAATTTTATAATGTTAGTCATAGGGGTCTTATTATACTTACAGTGTTTGCAAAGGATAAAAACATGATCAGTTTCTATAGAATTATGCTGGTATATGGATATGTGTGTAAATATGCTTATACCTATTTTTTTACTGTTTTGCATTTTTTTCATTTCGCATTTATTTTTAATTCATATATTCATATCATGAACTTCAACCCAATTCCTAAAAACAGCTAAACTTCATGAATTATATTTTCTCACAGTTTAGGTTGGCCACCTAAGTGATGATTATAGTCACTATTTACATGTTGAAACTGTATTTTTCAAATTCAATGAATCTTTTGCCAGGGACTTGAAACTCAACTTTTGATGACTACATATTTTTTTTCATGCTAGAAAGTGGCTGAATCTTCACTTTAGCTTCACTTCAGTGCTTTCCCGATCACACTGCCAGAATCTTCCCATTATCATCCACCTTCCTAAATACATTAATTTCATTTCTCCCAAGTGTACTTTACTGGAATTACAAAACAAACCAATTTACTCTCTAGTGCTTGACAGTACATTTTACATGTTATTTTCTCCTTTACATAATACGTAAATTGATTAAGTACAATGTTTAGAAAAGGTTAAGTATTAGAGAAACTAGTTATCCAATTTACATTGCGTATGTACAGGTCATACATACACACATACATGCATACATATATACATATATTCTCTTATCTATATAAATATCTAGATGGGTAGATGAGTACGCTTTCTGAGTTTCTTACACATAAGCAAAATTGTATTTTAGGCATCTACATATCTTTTGTATAATCCAAAATGTCTGTATGTATGAATGTGTGTATATTAATGCTTCTCATAGCCTCATATCAATCAATTTAAATATATTTTCTTAACACAAATATAATGTTGTGAAGATTATCCTCAATCTTAAATGATAGACCTCTATTTTAATGTTTTGCCTTTTTTAATTTGGCAAAATTCCTGGTTCATAAAGGAGAGTTGAAAAACTGATCTTGATTTTTCTAGGACAGTACTTTTTTTGTCAGTATAAAACTAATCACTGAGTTCACTGTTCACTAAAATTTATATTAATGTTTAGGTTCTGGTTTTATATTAAGCTTAGCTAAACTTCATGTGTTTGGTTTTTGGTCTATATCCTGTATGTGTGTGTTTGTATATGTGTGCAGGTGCAAGTTTGTGTGCTGTATTATGACATTTCATAGCATGATCAACCTCATGTAGAATGGAACCATGTTATTTTAAAGTGTTCCTTTTTTGAGAGTTTTATCTCCATTATTTTTCCACTTTTCTTTCCCTGTGGTGATGGTTAATCTCGATGATCAAGTTTATGGAATTTAGACTCATAATGGAAACAATACCCTGAGTTTATCTATGGCACAGTTTCTGAAACAGATAACTTAGGTTGGAAGAAACAATTTAATTTTGGGCAGTAGTACATCATGGTCTGAGATCTTGGACTGAATAGAAAGAAGAGAGACAGCTGAGTACCAGCATTCATCTCATCATGTTTGCTGAGTACAGGTGCAATCCCATCAGCTACCTCAGGCTCATGACCCAGTGACTTCTCCACCATGTAGAAATTTACCCTCCAACTGTGAATCAGATATTTTGTTGCAACTACCAGACAAGTAGTCAATGCATTTATAATAAAACATATTTTTCTTTGCATATCTATATTAGAAGACTTCATAATTGCTTATGCATTACTGTATGCATACATCTTTACCCAAATAGAAGCCATCATAAGAGTTTTGAAACGTGTGAATGAGGAATTATTGCTATGATAAAAAATTACAAATTTTAAACTTAAAATATTAGAAATGTATTCATTGTGTTATAATTCTGGAGGGTGGAAATCCTAAAACCAAGAACTGTTTTCTTTCTAGGACACATATGAAATAATCTGCTTCCTTGATTCATCCACTCTTTAGATTTTTTTCTCAATTCACTTGAGCATCTGTGTGTATTCTGTTTATCTGTCATATTTCCTTTTTTTCTATTCAATATCCTTTACACACTATTCCCTTGCTCCACCCTCTTCTATGACTGTATGCAGATTCTCCAAAATATTCTTTCTTTTTTATTTTAATTTAAAATAGCTTGTTTTACATGTCAATCCCAGTTCCCTCTCCCTCCCCTCCTCCCGCACTCCCCTTCCCCCCCACCCTCCCACACTATTGCCAAATCCTTCCACATAGGGGATATCTACAGTCTGTCATTTTGCTCTGGGTAGGGTCCAGGCACTCCCCTAAGAGTCCAGGCTGAGAGAGCATCCCTCTTTGTGCTATAGGCACACGAAGACTGTTTGTATACCAGGGATAGACACTGGGCCCCATAGGTTGCCCAGGCCTTCTCGCTGACACTCACATTTGGGGGGTCCAGATCAGTCCCATGCTGGCCTCCCCACTGTCAGTCTGGGGTCCAAGAGCTCTCCCCTGTTCAGATCAGCTGTCTCTGCTGGTTTTGCCAGCCCATTCTTTGCCAATTTGCTCATCACTCCTCTCTCTCTGTCACTGGGTTCCTTGGGTTCAGTTCAGTGATTAATTGTGTGTTTGCCTCTGCTTCCATCAGTCACAGGATGAAGGCTCCCGGATGGTTATAGACATCAAGTTCATTATCAGGAATGGGCTTTCGAGGTGGTCTCTCCACTATTGCTTAGCTTGCCAGTTGGTGTTATCCCTTTAGATCACTCGAGGTCGCTCTGGTGCCTGATCTGTATTCGATCCTATGATTCCCTTTTCTCCCTATTCTAACCCCACCCCCTCAACTTCCTGTTCCCCCATGACCAAGTCTCTTCCTCTTCACCCCCTCTCTTCTTCCCAGGTCCCACTACCCTCCCTGCCCTTCGCCGTGTTCCCCATCCATTCAGGGGATCTTGTCTCCATCCTCTTCTCTTGGGTACTATGCATGTATGCCTATCTTTTAGGTTCTTTCCTGTTTCCCAGACTCTCTATCAGTGGAAGTGCAGACTGGCACTATCCTGATCCATGTCTAAAATCCATGTATGAATGAGTACATACCATGTTTGTCTTTTTGCGACTGGGTTACCTCACTCAGGATGGTTTCTTCCAGTGCTATCCATTTACCTGCGAATTTCAAGATTCCATTGTTTTTTCTGCTGAGTAATACTCCATTGTGTAAATGTACCACATGTTCTCTATCCACTCATCAGTTGAGGGCCATCTAGGTTGCTTCCAGATTCTGGCTATTACAAATAATGCTGCTATGAACATAGTGGAGCAGATGCCCTTGTTGTATGAACCTGCCTCATTTGGATATATGCCTAAGAGTGGAATTGCTGGGTGTAGTGGTGTATTAATTCCCATTTTCCTGAGGAATCTCCATACTGATTTCCAAAGAGGCTGTATGAGTTGGCACTCCCACCAGCAGTGGAGGAGTGTTCCTCTCTCTCCACATCCTCTCCAGCATAAATTGTCTTCGGTGTTTTTGATTTTAGCCATTCTGACAGGAGTAAGATGGTATCTCAGAGTTGTTTTGATTTGCATTTCCCTGATGGCTAAGGATGTTGAGCACTTTTTAAGTGTCTCTTGGCCATTTTAGCCTCCTCTACTGAGAATTCTCTATTTAGATCTGTACCCCACCTTTTAATTGGATCCTTTGGTGTTTTGGAGACTTGTTTCTTGAGTTCTTTGTAAATTTT